GCTATCAATTCATAACAAAAGTAAAAACTCTCTACCCGCTTATCTCCCCCTCTCCCGTGTCTGTAAATAAAGCTGTTGTGTTTAAAATGATAGATGTTTGGTTAAAGTTAATTAAAAAGTTGTTTTTAGAGAAGTTCAAATTCTCCAAAAAGCACTACACCAAGCTTATACAAGAAATTAAAGTAATGAAACTTTTATATTAATGAAATTATCCTTATTAATTTACTAAAATCTCAAATGTATCCAAATTATCCTACACTTCAATATATGGACGAAATATTGCATTAATTTTATAATATAAAGATTTTTCTCTTTATTATTGTTATTAATCAGTATGAAATGTCATACCATTACAACTAAACAATTTTATATAATATTTACTCATATGCACTAAAATTATGTTTAATTTATTTATGAATATATAAATTATTGAAGTTCAGTCAAATAAAAATGTAATAAATTGTGTAGTTATGGTGCGAACAATTAATGAATTTAATATTCACGACGCGTTTTGAATTGACGCTCAAGTAATTAATTTTTTTTTTTTCCTTTTAACTAAGTTTTATTAACAAATGCTCTACAGACAAAAAAAAAATCTACACACAACTCCAAAAAAATATATGCTACTTAAAGAATATTTTAAGGACAAAAGTATGGTGAAAGAATCAGGTACTTGCGGACCTTCCGCTAGAGATGAAAAAGTAGGTCAGACCAAAACAATTACCGTAATCGAACAATGAGTTTGGACTATCTGCCAAGGCATAAAGCAGCTAATGGCTCTATGTACCCATCTTGAATTTATTTTATTTTATTTATTGTTTTGTATAAACTCAATAAAAAAACAACATGGAAATTAAAAAGCTCTAGGCAAAGTAATCAGCCCGGTCAGTGTGCTTGTGACTTGGTGGCCTCAATTTTTATGGTCGATCTAATTTACTTTACACCTTTTTTTTTAATAATCGTCAATGTCCGAATTAACTTGCGTGCACTTCGACTAATCTCACGAACCCTAAAGTTTATGGTCGGATACTCATCTCAGTAGCTTGGGGTGATTCGAACTGGGGAGCGAACCGAAATCCTTCCAGTTAGTTAACACTTTACACCTTTATCTTTACTAAATCATACCAATTTTGGTGCCTTATGGATTGAGTTTTGATTTATTGTCTGTTTGCCTCGCAATGTTATTAGGGGCCTAACTTTTAATTAAATGCAAACATAAATCTTTAATCAAGAATGGATCTGACTTGCAAAAGTCAACATTGCTTTTGAATGGCTGATTTGATTATTTTGGCCGGTTTTTTCACCATATGATAATGCTATTTTAAACAAATGGACTCACCTTTTTCGCCAAGTGCCTAAGATATGGAGACCCTACCAATTTGCCTAGTCTAATTTCCTTATCTTTCCTACTTGTAATCCAATCATGTAACTCAACCAAATTAATCTTAACACCAACCAGTAAGGGAAGAGAATGATTTCGTATTTCTTTGTTCACTCTCCCTCAAGGGCGCGCCATGCAAAACCCTAAATTTTTGGGTTCATTAATGGTGACTAAGGCCAGAAGCTCTCTAAGGTTTTTTTGAATGACTTTCTATTTCATCTTTTTATATGTGAAGTTTCCTTTACTTAGACCTGGTACTCGAGGGAATAAATCGATCAACTCAAAGTCTTTCAAACAAAATGGTGATCCCAATGACTTGGATTGTGCACTCTCCCTCAAGGACTTTGAAATCCAAAGTGCTAGGGGAGAGAGTGGATATGTACATGTAACTTCCATCGAGCATATGTCTGGTAAATAATACTTACGTTTCATCTTATCTCACTTTTCTCATATTACAACATATTTGTCTCAAGATCACAAGTGATTGATGGATCAATGTGCATTGCATGCACGAGATCTTTAACTTAATGTGTATGTACGGCGACTATGCTTATAATTAACATTTTAAACATATCAAGAAAATGATTAAAAATATTTAAATTCAATATTAAGTTGACTTTGCTTGTTAGTTGTTAGTAATACTATTTGTTTCTACTAAAAAGTTACAAATAATGTTCTTCTTCTATCAAATTAATTTTAGACTAAAAGAACAATAGTTTTATACTTATCTTTTTAATTTTAGAGGAGTGGCAATGGCGGTCGATTTAAAAAAGGAACCGAAAGCAGAATCCACGTGTCGGCACACGAGTGTAAATATATTTCTGCACCAATATTCATACACGAGTGTCATTAATTTCCCTTGTCAAGAGACTCAATTTTTATTTATTTATTTTGTATGGCGCTTTGGGTTGGATCGCCGGCATGTGAAAAGCATAGCCTGTCTTGGTATATTTCGCACATTTTGGTACATTTCACACAATTTTGTATGTTTTCATGCAGTTTGATACATTTCATGAGTTCGATAGCATTGTGCATTTCACGTACTTAAATACAATTTGTTTGATACATTTCGAGCATCGAAATTGAGCGATGCATTAAACAAAACTTAGGCAACTAAAACTGTACATCCAGTAGGCTCGACAAAGCACAGGAAGGCTAGATAATTTAAGGTCCAACACAATCCCGTTTGCAACTCTAGATTTTCCCAAGTCTCGTGATGATCGATCACAAATGTTTAACGTTAGATTTTCTCGTACGATTCTTAATATCTTAAATGAGTTAATTATAAGAGGAAAATTCTCAACTGCGCTGCAATATAAACTACAGATTAATTTGAGCCTCTCTGAACCAAAAATTCAGCACGAATGCACGTGATGACAATAGTACAGGACCCCCCACAATGGCAGCCTTTGTTTTAAGCAGAAGAAGTGCAACAAACACTACTTTTGTTCCTTTATAACCTTAACCAGACAAAGTGGAGAGAAAATGTGCCCACCACTCTTTGATCTTGTTCTTTACCACCATGAAATGGGATCGCTTGTTATAAACTCGTTGAGATTCATTAAAAAAATAATAATAATTTAATAACTTATATATGTGAAATGCATCAACTGATCATTTATAATTAAAGCATTTAATATTTAGAAGTACATTTCCTCTTTCTTTCTTTCTTTTCTTGCAATCAAATAGTACTAAACAAGCTCTAGATTTTTCTCCACAATCCTCACTTCATTGGCAGATCTAAGCACATTGGCCTGATATATAGCACAGAAAAAATATTAAAAAATCTCTAAATTTAATTTTTTTTTTTTAAATGCACGTAAGTATACAAAGACATAGATGATCCATCAATGATTTACCTGCTCATCGGTGATTTCTACTGCGAACCCATCGACAATAACCAAAGAGAGGGTCTTCTTGTAGCTTCCTGGCTCAAGGTTCTTTGCCAAAATGTCGTTGTGTTTTCTACTCAAGTACAAATCAAGCTCCTGTGCCCCTCTCTTTGTTCTGAAAGTACATGTCCACCATTGTGGATAAGAAGATGAGAATTAGATGTTCATCAAAGGTTTAAAGAAAACTGACCTGTTAGATCGAAGGCGCTCATATTGGGCATCATAATTCATGAAAACAAAATGCAGCTCTCTCTTGTTGTTATCCATCACCATTCACCACTTGAAAACTCCTCCTCCTCCTTCAACTTCAAGATGGTGTTATAAGGCCATTAGGTGGTTATTTATAACTAAAGTCTATAGGGTTTCTTTAGTCATTTCCTTACCTAAATAGACAAATATTATAGATAGGAGTTCGCGGATTTACAACCATTCACAATCAACACTCGACTTTGACACTCTAGGCTAGCTTTCAACATAGTGCCTTACCGTAAAAAAAAAAAGCAATCCATCTCCTAAAATTTACAGCTATTGACAATCAACATGGGACATATTCTCACTGTAAGAAAAAAGAATCGACCTCCTAAAATCCATTGTTTGGTAAATAATATGTAAGTGTACTTGATTCACTCATAGTCAAAGGAACAGTCATCTAAATAATTCAGCATGAATCAACCCATTTAGATTCTTTTTCTTAACCATTATCCATGACATATTTTATTAATAATAGCGATCGAATAATTTAAAAAGAAAACTCTACTTCGCCTTCAACTGTTCGATGAGAAAAAAGAAGAAGGAGAACTAAACTTCACGTGTTATTTGCAAGCTATAATATTGTATTCGTGCTTAAGAAAGTACCATGAAGTTTCTTTCCTCATCGGGTTTCGTGAAATTATTGTCAAGCACAAGCTTAGGGAAGCAAAGTCAACATTCAAATTAAATACATCTCTTCAAAATTTACTTTTTCCTCCAAATTTGAAGTCAAATGTACTTAATTTAAGCCAACCAAAAGATCCCTATACTTGATAAATATTTACTATAATACAAGCTCTCAAAAGTCAAGTCATCAAGAATACTTAAATGCCCTTGACTAAGTCTATTGTGAGAATTTCTTGAATTATTATAAAATAATCGCCAACGAAAATTAAATCTCGAATGACGGAATCTAAAAACTCCTCAAACAATGTGATATTTACCCTAGATCCGTTCATCGAATACTAATTTATTTATTTTTTAGCCAATTAACTATATGCTTTTAATTAATGAAATGAATGGATAGGTTTAAAGGCCTTAATTACAGACATGACAGGAATTATAAGTTTGATGGTGAACGTTGTATTTAATATTTGATTAATGTACCATATCGTTACATTATTAAAATTACATATCACATGTCAGGGCATATTCAATAAATTTGTTTTCAACATTCATATATGAAAAATGCTATTCATCTCAGTGGGGATGCATCTCCAGTCTATGTGGATGTAAATGATTGGTTAACTGATATGTGAAATGAAATAACTTATTTAATTTCACATATCATTTAATGTCACATTAAAACCACATAGACTATGGATGCATCCCCACTGGAGATGAATAGCATTTCTCTTCATATATAGGTCATGCTTCAAAAATGTTTTTATATATTAAAAACGTACGTTCACAAACTTTTGTGTAATAAATTTTACATATCCATACACAGTACTCTCTGGCATCCCAAATCCATCATTTTAAATTGTCCCTAGACGATTCATAATCTCTTCTATGGGAGGCCTTTCATCTGGCACAATATTTGTACAATCCAATGCAATTTCCAAAATCTTCATGGCATGCTTTTGCTCTTTTATATCAAGAGAAAATTCAAATAAATCATTTTTCTCCTTAGGCCATCCTAATATATCCATCAATACAACTCCAAAATTATATATATCACTCTTCTGAGATAATGTTTCATCGTATTGGTGGCATTCAGGTGGCGTACATGGTGAAACCTGGCCAGTGTCGTTAAATTCCATCAGCTCAGCCAGTTGTGCAAAGCCGTAATCAGACAGATGGGCGGTGAAGTCGATGTTGATCATGATATTGGAGACTTTGATGTTCCCATGGACACTCATTTGCAAGTGCTTGTCTTTCGGAGGTTGCAGTGAATGGATGAATTGAATTGCGTTAGCAATGCTTTGGATAATCCTGAGGCGTTGCTTCCAATCTAAAGCAGTTTGGCCTTCTTCTCTTGCACCTGGGAAATGTCGACATTGATGAAGATTTAGAATATTGATGAAGAAGACATACATAGGGAAACCAATAATCCACAAGAAGTAACTCGAAGTCAAAATTGAAAAGTTGCTGCCTCAGCTTCATTGTCCCCACTGAAATTTTGTTGCTCTGGACTCTGATAAAGCTTACCATGAATTTATGCCAAGACACAAATAATTAACGCTAAGATCTTGATGTATTTGCATGATTAAAATAAGAAGATGCAAAGAAAGAAATTAACATACCATAAAGCAAATCAGCCAGGCTTCCCATGGGATAATAATCATAAAGCACAAACTTGATCCTCTTTGCAAACAAATAAGCATTGATAGGCACAAGAAATTCACACTGATTCCCCACTTGAGCCAGTTTCTGAATCCTTCTCCCAAACTCACTTCTCCTAACACTAACTTTCCTAAACCTTTTCAGTGCACAAATATTTCCCCCCAAAAGCACCACTTTTTCAGTTATCCCCAACCGGCTCTCCCCCATGACCCCCACAGATGCCCTCAAAACTAGCCGGAGCGTCATTTGAGACTCCGATGTACAATCACAACTTTTGTTCATTTTATTGTGATTATTCTCAGATTCGTGGAACGAAATTACTGGAATATCGTCCATGAATCCGAAAATGAAATCTTCGTATTCATGTAATATGGATGCAGATCGGAGACTGGTTTCGCCATCCCGAAGGCTCCTCCTCGGTTTCGTGAAAGCTCTTGCTAACATCAGGTATTACTAAATTTTACTTTTCTGGTGTTTGGAATGGATGCGAAATGGGGAAGATTGTTGGGTATTTGATTGTAATTTTAAAATTATTCTAATTGGTTTGACGTGTATTTTTCTTGAAAATTATCGATCACTTAGCTGGAAATTTTGCATCGAAATAAACCCTAAATGATTATTGGTCGATACATGAATATTCAGGTATGTCTGTCTGTCTGTCTTGTGTGAATATTCTCATGCACACCAAATGTTTCTCTGTTTAATGATTTATAAAAAGAAATATGCAAATAATAATGAGTAATCATTATAAATGTACGTATCCAAAGGTTGGTTAAGTATTGATTCATTCGTCTCTTATACTCATTTTTAGCGCAAAATGTAGGACTTCAGACAAAAAGCACTACTTGACGTTGTAATAAACTTAATAAATTGATAAAACAACGTAAAAAACCAAATTTCTTAAGAATCAGACTTCTTGTGTTGGTACCACTCGTTATATTATGTCCGAACATAATAATGACAAAATTAAATCAAACGGATAAGGCCCTTGAACCTAATAACAAAAATAATCCATGGTAGAATTTACATTTTTCCAATATTCAATGTGTCGAGGTATGCTATTAAGCAGGCTTAAATGAAACCTCTATGTATAGTGCCTTTGTTTGTTTGGGTTTTATTATTATTTTGCCTAAAATTTTACTTTTCTGAGTCAAACAACTACACATTTTGTAAAATTCACAAGTATTCATCACTCATTTCTTGAAAAAGTAGAATTTTAGCAAAATTTAATGAAACCTGAACAGAGGCAGTACAGAATATTAACTGCTAACTCAGGTTTAAAGGGAAAAAAATGAAGATTTATATCTAAATAAATTGTGTAAGGAATTAAAAGTAAATTATTTATGGAATTAAAAGTTGAGGGGACAGACAAAAAAAAAATAAAAATTGATTCAAGTAGCCAGCGAGTAATATAGTTATATTGACCAGGCATCAATCAAGCGGCGGTGTGATTGAGGTACATAAATTGTTTATAAATAAAATACAAGGGACATTGTGGAGAAGGCCCACCAACGAGAAATTCCTGAAATTGGATGTGCATATTCGTCGAGTACTGAAGATAATTCTATAATTTCTTGGTTTATAGAAATAGTGAATTCTATGTAGATTCACTGTTGACTTTCGAAGCGTATTCCAATTAGGTATCAGTTCTGACATGTAAGTGATAGAAATAATTATTTTTGGGTAAATTCCACTAGCAGCAACAATACTTTCATTGTAATTTAATTAGAAAATAGTACTTTAATTATAAAGGTAACGTCCAAATTTGATATTCAGAATGTAAGGGGGCGTTCTCTTTGTGTTTCAATTTTGTGTTTTGAGTTTTGAATTTGTTTTGTGTTTTGTGTTTTGAGTGTCTGTTTTGAAATTTCTGAAAATGCGTTCTTTTTGCCGTTTTGAAAAACTGTTTTTGAAAACGTAATAATGAAAAACGCGTTTACTTTGAAATTTACACTGATAGATAAACAGATCCTAAGAATTTCATATCAACAGTAATAAAAACAATCCACTTTTTCCAACCGTCAGCATTTAAATTGAAACACAAATCAAAGCGTAAATACGATATTGAATGGTCAAATTGAAAAATTCGAAGAAGAATTCAAGGAAGTGGAAAACTTTCCCAACCCATCTGCAATCAGGACTTGAAATTGAAGGCATATGCAGGGATGAAGTAATTTTTCTCAAATCCAAAATCAAAAAATCGAGTAAAAGGAGCTGGGCACTTGTAGTTTCAAGGAATTTATTCATGGTATCGAAGGAAACAATGAAAAGATCATCCCTGACCCTGAAGAAGAAGAAGAAGATTCTTGTTTCTTTGTTGGACAATAAATAAGGGAAATCCACGAACCAAAACAACGAGAACACGCAGATTTGGCAAGTGCGAAATCTGACCCAAGGAAAATAATTTCGAACATACCGCAAAAAATATAAAAGGCAAAGAACTAGATGGGAAACCTGATTGAAAAAGAGAACCCGGAGATTTGGCAGGGGAAGCTGCTCGATTTCAGTTTCTAAGAGAGAGGTAGGGGGTACCAGGAAGAGAGGGGAAAGAGGAAGAGGGTTGGAGACTTTGAGTCATTTCCTGTGTTTTTGGAACAGTGACGCATTTTGGGTCTCTCACCTTATTTTCGATTGAAAATTCTCAAAACGTTGTGTTTTGTGCGTAAAAATTTTTGCCATTTTCAAAAACGTGTTTTCAGAAATAGGAAAAAAAACGCATTTTCACTGTTTTTGAAAATTGAAAACAGAAAACTGCTTGAAAACGGCAAAGAGAACATGGCCTAATTCTCCCAACAATGTAGATTGCAATACCATATAATTATGCCTGCCATATAAGAAATAAATAAATAAATAAATGTTTATACACCCAGTTCGTTTTTGTTTATGTTGTCTGTACATAAGTCAAGTTTGCATCCGATGTTGAATAAGTATAATATTTGATTTTGTAAGATTTAAATGCCATGACATGAGAAACGATTATTCAAAAAAGGACATTTCACCAATAATTGATCTAAAGAAGATTGATTGTTTTTTAGAATCAAATTGATACCCATCATCACAATTACAAGTAATGATTGTCAGTGCATATTTTATTTCAAATAAGGAAAAGTGGAAAACTTTCCCAACCCATCTACAATCAGGACTTGAAATTGAAAGCATATGCAGGGATGAAGTAATTTTTCTCAAATCCAAATCAAAAAATCGAGTAAAAGGAGCTGGGCACTTGTAGTTTCAAGGAATTTATTCATGGTATCGAAGGAAACAACGAAAAGATCATCCCTGACCCTGAAGAAGAAGAAGAAGATTCTTGTTTCTTTGTTGTACAATAAATAAGGGAAATCCACGAACCGAAACAACGAGAACACGCAGATTTGGCAGGTGCCGAAATCTGACCCAAGGAAAATAATTTCGAACATACCGCAAAAAATATAGCAGGCAAAGAACTAGATGGGAAACCTGATTGAAAAAGAGAACCCGGAGATTTGGCAGGGGGAGCTGCTCGATTTCAGTTTCTAAGAGAGAAAGGTAGGGGGTACTAGGAAGAGAGGGGAAAGAGGAAGAGGGTTGGAGACTTTGAGTCATTTCCCGTGTTTTTGGAACAGTGACGCATTTTGGGTCTCTCACCTTGTTTTCGATTGAAAATTCTCAAAACGTTGTGTTTTGTGTGTAAAAATTTTTGCCATTTTCAAAAACGTGTTTTCAGAAATAGGAAAAAAAATGCGTTTTCACTGTTTTTGAAAATTGAAAACAGAAAACTGCTTGAAAACGGCAAAGAGAACATAGCCTAATTCTCCCAACAATGTAGATTGCAATACCATATAATTATGCCTGCCATATAAGAAATAAATAAATAAATAAATGTTTATACACCCAGTTCGTTTTTGTTTATGTTGTCTGTAAATAAGTCAAGTTTGCATCCGATGTTGAATAAGTATAATATTTGATTTTGTAAGATTTAAATGCGATGACATGAGAAACGATTATTCAAAAAAGGACATTTCACCAATAATTGATCTAAAGAAGATTGATTGTTTTTTAGAATCAAATTGATACCCATCATCACAATTACAAGTAATGATTGTCAATGCATATTTTATTTCAAATAAGGAAGAAAATTTTATTTTATTNTGCATATTTTATTTCAAATAAGGAAGAAAATTTTATTTTATTATAACAAAGGTAAAGATGGACTCGTATTTCAATCTCAATTGTCTATGGTTAGAAAGGACTAGGGGTGATATATTCTCAAGGTTAAACTACACAGCTAACGATTTCTTGATTGGCGATGAGGTATCACTATTGGACATCAAAAATTAAATGAACTAATGCCACAATGGATCAAATTATATGCTACCATCAAGCCAAATACTCGAGGATATACACCATATCCTTCCAACTTTTTTCTCCAATTTTCTGCTGTGACAAGCAGAAAGTGTGCACGAAATTGGAGAATTCTTAAATTTCCAGCCTTCTTACAAAGAAAGGATTACAAGATTCTCAAAAGGAAGATGAGCATATACCATTTTTCTGGCTGCTCCTAAGTTCTAAACATGGTGATGGACTAACCTCAACCGCAGCCCCACTTACATCCGAGCATTGCCAAGGTAAATTCCTTGGTTTTGGGCCACCATGAAGGTTGATGTTAGATAGACAAATCCCAGTAAATGGTGCATTCTTCAGACCGTGAATCAAACCAGGCTGCTGAACCTTTTCACCCCAAACATCCTTAATTGTAACATCCTTAAGAACAGGAATAGCATTTGGATCATATTTTTCATCCGGGTGGTCCCCAACATTGCCCGAAATCTTTATTCCCTTCCGTACATTCTCCATATAAACATTCGAGATTGTAATGTTTTTTACAACCCCTCCCCTACCGATATTTGTCTTCAAATGGATGCCAAACCCCGTGTTGAATAAGTTTATGTGCTCAACCAAAATGTCCTCTACTCCGCCAGAGGTTTCGCTTCCCACTGCAATTCCAGCAAATGGCGATGATCCAGTTACCCGTCTAATGGTGATCCCTTGACTAGGGCGACCATAAGAAATTCCATACTCATCCCACCCACTCTTTACTGCTATGAGGTCATCTCCCGTTGATATGTATGAGTCCTCAATACAGACATGGGAACTTGAGTCTGTACGAGTAAAAATCAGGATTTTAAAAAGATCGCTATACAACAAAGGACCTCCACTTATGTTGTTGTATAATAAAAAGATCACTATCCTGATTCAAGTCAACCATCTATGAAAACTGTGCACATTGCATTTCATAAAGATAGAGAATGAATGTGGCTAGCACTTGAGGTGGAAGTGTTAAGACTAAAAGTCAAAAAATAAAAAAAATTAAATATGTTGTATCTCTATCAATTGTGAAAGCACCTGAATTTCTCGGTTGAAGTGCCACGTGTCAACTAGAGAATTTTGGCAGCATGAACTTAATGCTAAATACATATTGTAGAGAAGAGTACAGATAATAATGCATATTTCATTCCTCCCTTCTTGTTCATTAGAAGATAAAATAGAAAATTCAAATACCATAACATATTTCACAACTGTGGCTATAGTCATATTAAATTGACAAATACCAACATTAAACTTTTCTTCTAGTGTACCTGGATCAATTCCATCAGTGTTGGGGGAGTCAGCAGGAGCCAATATGGTGACATTTTGAATGACAACATTGCTGACAAAAGAAAAGGAAAATGAGATCATCAATTATGTGCTGTAGCGATATTTTTACTAGGTAATTTATCATAACAAAAACTAACAAAAACATTTTGAGCTAAGTAATCTTCAGAAAAATCAAATACATGTTATGGACCAATTTGAGCAAAACTCACACTGAATTATTACCTGCAATACACTGGGTGAATGTTCCAAAAGGGCGAGTTCTTGAAAGTTACATTGGAAATTATTACACTTGTGGAGTTCATGATTTCAATAAGATTAGGCCTAGTGAAATGAAGGGTTCTTTGCCTCCACATGTTCCACCAGACACCACCTTGGCCATCAATCGTCCCATTTTCACCTACAGAAAACCAATATAGTAAATACTCATAAATAAACAATAATTAAGTAAACAAATAATGAAATGATGTTCTTCATACTGACCAGTAATAACCACATCTTGAATTCCATCACCATGGATAAAGCTCACGTATCTTCCTCCGGGTAGTTCTCTTCCTCTTCCATAAGAAGGCAACGGAGCTACCAATGGCCAATTCCCAGTATCCTGAAGCATCAAGGACATGTGTTCCATATGGATGGATGGCAATAGGGATAAAACAATTTTTTTAAACACCCAAGTCGGTTGTACAATTAATTTCTTGGCCTCCAAACAACATTCTTTTATTCTTAATGGAACAAAATTATTGTTATATTTGCCTCAATTGTAAAATATAAGATAATTTTAAGAGGGTATGTGCTAGTTAGTATATTTATATTATAACTTCGAAAGAAGAAAATCCTGATAGATAAAATTATTTTGTTCCTGAAGAGTTATGAATGCTCAAGATCAAATCTGATATTGAATTTACGGGAAAACCTAACCTTTCTCTACAAGTCACTCTGTAAATTTTGTCCAGTCACACGATTCATTTAACATATTACCTTTATAGCTAAGGCAGAGAAATAGATCTATAGCTTGGAAGCATGTTGAGATTGTTGAAAATAACAAAAGCAGTAAGCAATCGAAACCATGGATTCCTCATCCAGGCTCGGTACGGCAGGTGCACACCTGAATTGCTCGTGTAAACAATATACAATTTGATTTATTGTCATCAACTTATCCAACCTCAGATCTCACACTAGCGGCTAGCCAAAAGAAATTGCCATTATATTTATGACTTATTTTTTAAATAATCATTTGTTCTTTCCTCGTTTTCTGTAAAAAAAATTCTTTGATGTTGCTGTCCTGCACTACAGCTGGCTAACCATAATGGCTGTCAACATGTTTAATGTCGCAGTACAAGCATTCAAGTTCCCATCTCCTTTCGGTTAATCCTAATCTATAACCATAATTTCTAAATTTTCCAAAGCAAAATGCCAAAAATACATTCCCTTCAATGTCTCACAAACAGCTCACTTGAAAGATGCATCTCAACTACCATTCTAATTGGGCCCGCACTGCTCTTTCTATCCCTAATCAAATATTCTAATATCGAATTAAGCTGTGGAAATCAAAGCAAAGGATACAGGCATTCAAAAACTAAAATCTTAACTTGAAAACATCCTCATGATCCATGATTGTATATAAACTCCAGCTCAAAAAGAATGAAGACGCTCTAGATCACCAATTCAACTATATAAATTTCAAATAGATCAAACGAATCACAACAAACTATCATATTATACAATTTCTTTCTACTGATCATGCATAAGTTTTGTAAACTCTTAAAATAGCAACGAAGGTTGTGATGATTGTGTGTGTGGTAGGATTTCTTCTAGTAAATCAATAACCTTCAGAGATAACACAAATGATCGCTTGTTAAACTAACTCCTCCAAAAGTATAAGATTTTGGAGGAGAAAGGACACATTAATTATTTAAATTTAATCCAAGCCATCCTCCATGAAGGATAACTCATTTTTTCATTAAAGCTTGATATATGCACAATTAGCATACATGGTTGATGGGCCAAGCCATCCAATGCTGCCCAGACACACAGTCCAGCCGTGCACCAGCACAGACCTATAGTCATGTCTTGCCCAGCTTGACTGTGTAGGCTCTAGCCACAAGGCCAGTCCATAACATTCGTTTGAGAGGGGGGATTGGAGTACCTGTGTAGCCTTGATAACAGCACCTTTGGCCAAGTAAAGAGTCATATGGCTGGTGAGATTAAAAGGTTCAGTTAAATACTCCCCAGAAGGTACATAAAGCAGTGTGCCTCCTTCCCTGTTCAAATGCCCAATCCTGTAAATAGCTTCCCTGAATGCTTTCGTGTTAATTGTCTTCCCATCACCTACCCCTCCAAAATCCGTTATTGATATCTTATCGTCCCGGTCCCTCATCGGTACCATTCCCGAGCAAGTCACCCATTCGCCATTGGCGAATACAGAGCAGTTCATCAACAGTAATGCAGCCACAAAGCATAAGAAAATTGAAAAATCATAGCTGTGCATTTTGCTCTGGTATTACAGAACCAGAAAGTTGGGCAGTCTGTTAAAAAGCCCTAATTTGAGTATTTTACTGCAGAGAATCAGTGGATTCAGTGAAGAGAAATAGAATAAAGATAAAGCTACGAAAAAGTGACGGTGGAGTAGGATAAGCTAAAAATAAGAATGCGTGAGTTCCAGGTTAATGAATCAATAAATCAAATTGTGTCGATGATAAAATTGGGTCCACGGGAATGAGGACAAAAATGCTTTACTGATTCCCTCCCCTTCCCTTCAATGAATCAATGCGAAGAAATACGAATTGCGCAAATGTAAAATAAAGATACAAAGAGAAAGTTCCAAACATGGATTTTCTACAATAACCACAAAAGGAAAGAGAATTGATAGAAAATGGAGAACAACATTCCCAGAAAATATATATATTATACACAATTGCTTCAAGAAAGGAACTTTTGTTGAGATAGAAGCAGAAGAAAACCACACACGCACAAGTACACAAAATTATGAAAATACCTGAATGTGTATAGTAATGTGATTATTTAATTATAATAATATGGTGACTTCCTGCATTTTGAATTCAGTATCCAAGGAAATTTCTGCTAGTATTCTGTACTCCGAATCAGCTTATGAGATATGGAATGACTTAAAAGGAACGTTATCAACAGCGAAATGGTCCACGAATATTTCAGCTCAAACGGGAATGAATGAATCTCAACCAAGGAGATTCATCAGTTAGCACTTATTTTACCAAATTGAAGACAATTTGGGAGGAGCTTACTAATTACAAACCAGCTTGTACATGTGGCAAACGTGTATGTGGAGGAGACAAGAAGTTGAATGAACATCATCAGATGGAATACGTGATGTCCTTTTTAATGGGGCTACATGAATCCTACTCTCAAATTCGAGGACAATTGTTGTTGATGGATCATATTCCCCCTATTAACAAGGTCTTTGCATTAGTAGCTCACGAAGAAAATCAACAGAAGATAAGTGGAATGAATGATGCAGCGGGAGTGACTGGCTCAATGGCCTTGTATGTACAAAATAATGCTAACAAGATGGTGCAAAAAGATGCTATACAGGGCAGCAATATAGCAGAATTCAAAAGAAAAAAAGGCCAATTTGCACTTATTGTGGATTCAACGGACATGCTGTGACTAAATGCTACAAACTTCATGGGTATCCACCAGGGTATAAACCTAAACAGAGGACTGGAATGGACATACGTGTAGCTCCTAACACTCCTCACAATCAAACTGGCCGTGCAGTGATTAATCAAGTTTCTGAACCTAATATTGTCTGTTGGAACACCAATCGATTATACTTCAATAAGAGTTTTTGGGAGCCTTTTCTTTGCCTCTACATTACCCTCTCATAGAAACAAGTTTCATCCCAGGGCTAGTGCTTGTATTTTCATTGGTTATCCTCCTGGTATGACAGGGTATAAACTCTATCATATCACCTCGAAAACCTTTCTTATTTCCAGGGATGTAGTATTTCATGAATCATACATTCCTTTCCATTTTATTGAGTCTGAATCGGATTTGCTTGATTCTTTTCCTGATATGGTACTACCAACCATTTTCCCTGATCCTTGTCATAAGCTCAGCCAATCTCAGCTTCTTCTGATCATACTCATAGTTTCCAAGATCAGAATCATGTTTCTTCTTCTGATTACACTCCAAGCCAAGATCACATTTCAGATTCTATTCCACTTCTACCTGTACCTAGGCGAACAAATATGGTGAGTCAACCTCCTTCTTATCTTCGTGAATATGTCATCTTCTAGTCAATTTACCCTCTGTCTGATTACCTTTCTTATCAATCTTTATTTCTCTCACATAAAACCTTTCTTTTTAATGTGACCTCCAATTCTGAACCTCAGCATTATCACCAAGCTGTTACTTCTGATCACTGGAGAAAAGCTATGGCAGAAGAGTTGACAGCTATGGAATTGAATAGAACTTGGTCCATAACCAATTTGCCCAAAGGAAAACATTCAATTGGCTGTCGATGGGTGTATAAGATCAAATATGCCTCTGATGGGAGTATAGACAGGTATAAGGCGAGGTTGGTAGCTAAGGGTTATACACATCAGAAGGGCTTGGATTTCATAGACACCTTTTCACCAGTGGCTAAGCTGGTTACGGTTAAGGCATTACTAGCCATTACAGCTGTACATAAGTGGCATCTTGTTCAGCTAGATGTGAATAACGCCTTCTTGAATGGGGATTTGTTTGAGGAAATCTATATGGATTTGCCTCCTGGGTACTCTACTCCTTCTACTGGTGGTCTTCATAATGGCAAATCGATTTGTAGGCTACATAAATCTATTTATGGGCTGCGGCAGGCTTTCAGGCAGTGGTTCTCTAAGTTTTCTCATGCCCTTGTACATCATGGTTTTCACCAGTGTAAATCAGACTATTCCTTGTTTACCATGGGATCCGATGATTCGTTTGTTTCCTTGCTGGTATATGTAGATGATATCATCATTGCTGGTTCCAATCTTGATGTCACTGCCAAGTTAAAATCGTTTTTACATAGTCAATTCAAACTTAAAGATTTGGGAAAGTTGAGATTTTTCCTTGATTTGGAGATAGCAAGATCAACTAAGGGAATATGTTTATCTCAACGACATTATGCTTTGTAATTATTGGAAGACACTGGTTTCTTGGCCTCTAAACCAACAACTCTACCTATGGATCTTAGAATTCGTTTGAGTTCCTTTGAAGGGGATTTATTAACTGATGCTAATGCTTCATCCTATAGGAGATTGATTGGTCATTTTCTTTATTTGACTATTTCACGACTAGACATCACTTACACGGTCCACAAATGAAGCCAATTTGTATCACAGCCTCGTCAACCAGATTTTGATGCTGCTCATCATCTCCTACAATACCTGAAGTCGGCACCAGGTCAAGGATTGTTATTTTCTGCATCAGCTTCATTACAAATTCGTACATTTGCTGATGCTGACTGGGGTTCCTGCCTCGATCCTAGAAAATCTGTGATGGGTTTTTGTGTGTTTCTTAGTAAATCACTCATCTCTTGGAAGGCTAAAAAGCAGCAGACAGCATCACGGTCTTCTGTAGAGGCAGAGTATAGAGCGTTGGCAGCCACCGCTAGTGAGTTGATTTGGATACATGAGTTGTTTGATTTACAGGTTACTACATCAGCTCCTGCTTTGATTTTCTGCGACAATCAAGTTGCCATCCACATTGCTAATAATCCTATCTTCCATTAAAGAATAAAACATATCAAGATTGATTTTCATTTCGTGCGTGATAAAGTTCTGGATGGTTTCATCAAACTTCTACATGTTAAGTCTCAACACCAATTGACAGATGTTTTCACTAAAGCCTTACTTGCTTCTCTATTCTTCCCTTTATTGTCCAAGATGGCTATTTTAAATTTACATAGTCCATCTTGAGGGGATGGGGGGTATTAGAATATATCGGCTCCAAATCAGGTGCAGCTCAAGATTCAGACCTCAGCCATCAGCTCAAGCTTCAGCATCACTCTTGGGCGCCAAAATTAGTTTCAATTAGTTATAATTTGTACAGCTGTATTCCCGCCTATTTTTCATTGCTTTAGTTTGTTATTTATAATGTGTAAACCATTTTCTTCTTCAAGATAAGAATCATCATTTTACATTCTTCAATTCTCGCTTTCTCTCCAATAATTTTTGTTATCAGTTTGCTTGATCTATATCGTTATTTAATATCAATTTATTTCACAATAGGTTGGACCTACTTCAACAGGTCTGAAGAAAGGGAAATTACAAAAAATCAGTTGTTTAAAGATTGGTTTTAAAAAATCAGATCTACAATTTATTTATTCAAAAATCAGGTACTACATTAAAACCTTAATTCATAACCTAATTCTCTCCTCCCTTCCCCACACACACTCTCTCTCGCCTCCTTCCCTTACCCCTCTCTCCCTCCTTCCCCTACTCCTCTCCCTCGCCTCTCTATGTCAGCAGTGTTGCGATGACGCTGCTCAGTTCGAGGCAGCGTCGCGACGCTGCTGTGAACTGCAGTAGCGTCGACGCTGCTACGCGAACGGCAACATCGCGACGCCATTCGCGCAGTAGAGTCGACGCTGCCGAGAACTGCAGCAATGGACAGCGTCACGTGAACGGTGGCGTGGTGGTGTTTTGTGCACAGCAGCGGCGGCGGCGGCATTTTATGTGGTTGGATGCGACAATGGTGGTTTTGAGGCGGTGGTGATTTTTTTCTGTAGGAACTTGAGTGGCGCGGTGGTTTTGTTGGACTGATGGTGGCTGAAATTTTTGTTGATTGTGGCGACAGAGGTGGTAGATCTGACAGTTTGGGTGATTTTTGTTGAATCGGCAGTGCATCTAGTAGTAGTAGTAGTGGTGGTTTGTAGTTGCAAATGGTGATTTGTTGGTGGTGGCGATGTGGTGTCTGTGGTGGTGGCAACAGTGACCGGGATGGTGGTGGATCTCGCGACTGCAAAGACGGGTGGAGGCGATGGCGGTAGTGTTGATGACGATGGTATGTGACCACTTGACTAATTACTTGG